GTCCCTCTCCTGCTCCCAGCCCCACATAACCAATCCCACACAGTTTCAACATCACCATTATTCATTTCTTGGTTATTTTCACTTCCCTGTTATGCAACAGGATTTAAGAAAGTTTGATGGGGGCATCACATGAAATAAGAGACAGAAACTATAGTTTTACAGCACGTGGTTGTATACTGTTAAGTATAAATATTAACATTATACAAAACAAAAACAGTTCACTTAAATTCACTGCGTTAACAAAATACTTTCCTTTAGGACTATATTTCCATGTAAGAGTTTTAAATACCTGAAAAATAAAGACCTGATCCTCCTCTTACTGAAGTCAGTTGGGATTTTCCCATTGACTGTAATGGGAGCAGAATCCAGCAGCCCAGAGAGAAAGTGTGCATTGTTGCTTTAACTTTCAAATTATTTAACAAAACTGCTAAATTTATTTTCTGACAAAGTGGGAAAAATAAACCAGGAAAGATACATCTAAGTCCAAGGAATACAACACAAAATACTGAATCTGGTTATCAAAGAAACTTGGGATTTCTGAAATTCAGGAAGATCAGCCTGTCCAGGGCAGGATTTTCCCAGATAAAGACATCAGAAAGACATCAGAAAGGTTTCAGAAAATAAAGAAAGGCACAGTTCTGTAGAGATAAATTATATTTAACAATGTTTAAATTAAATCCCCTCCAGTCCATATTTCCCAGCAATTTGTGCTTATAGCTTGAATGGGAGGATCAGAAATGTGCAAATCTTAAAATACCCATACTAATGCATTTGAGGTACCAAAGCTGCCCACTTCTGGCATATTAAAAAAACAATTAATTTCACAGGAAAGTATGAACTTGATTTCCTACCCACAACAGATCTTGCTGTTTTTGACACCCTGGAAGAGAGAGAATGCATAATACTCCTTCATTTGAAGTTATTAAAAAAAAAAAGAAAAAACATGTTGTAGGCTGAACGTGCAAAGCCTTTCACTTATGAAATAATTCCACAGAAGGTGATGGGAATTCTTTGCATGAGAGAGGATGACATATTTGAGCAAAGATTTCCAATTATAAGGTACCATTAAGGTACTATTGAAAAGGCTGCTAAGGATCTTGAAAGAGTTCTGCTCGATTCACTCAACTCCAACATCAGTGCCAGGGTTGGGTACTCTTCATTCCAGTGGATGAACTAAAGAAAGAGAGAAAAGATTGTCATTTTTTTTTCATCTGAAACAGTCTGTTGCAAAAATCTATCATTAGGGCCTGTAACATTCCCAGTCATTCATCAATAACTTAAGGACTTTGTTTTACTCCTACAGTCCAAGTAAAGTATAAGCGTCCAAATGAAAAACAAAACAAACAAACAGAAAAAAAAGACCTAAAAAAATTAAATCTTTATACTTGGCTCATTGTGAAGAAGGCTGTACTCTCTCAGCTCAAGGAACATCTTTTCAAGTTAAAGCACAATGAGAAGATGTTCTTAAGTAAGATGGACTTCTTTTTCCAAGCTTGAAGTGCCTGCTCTCAGCTTCCCCCTGGCAGTACAGGGGCCCTAAGGGATGCTCCAGAACTTTCCTCCAAGCTCCCTGCAAAGGAGTTCACTTTCTCTCACTCTTTTCTTTTATGTTGTCCTATCCTTTCTCCAGCAGCAGGTTCCAGCTAGTTTTAACACCATCTTGTTGTACTGAGGTGCAAGCAACAGGGGAGGAATAAGTGGTTGCAACAGGGAATAGTGCTTCTTTAATGACAGTAAGAGCCCAGGCTTGTTTCTGGGTGTAGTGAGATCTACAACACTAGCTTTTTATGCACCTACCAAAACAGATGTTACAAAGCCTGCACAGCCATTACCTCTGCTCTGTGGACAGAGGGCCACTGATACATCTTCAGGACTAATACGGAAGATAGCTATATCTTTCACAAACACTCTTTAAAAAGAATCACATTCTGTGCGTTGAAAAGGATTGTCAAGTACCTGCACCTCACGATATGTGCTGGATTTCTGCCTTCATGTGTCCTTCGATGAAAAACTAAGAAAGAAATCATAAATACAGGATACCATTTTTATATATTTATGTTCACAGTAACTGAATGGGATACTTAATTTATTCAGGACTGATACTTTTTAACAATTTAAATAATATCAGAAAATGTAATGATATTCCAAACTCATGTTACCAATAGGAAAATGTAATTAACCATCTGTCTTAAAACATTATTTACCTTGGAAAAGAGAGGAACCATCTTGAATACTATCTGAATGCCCTTTGTATATACAGGTTTGCAATCATTTGATCCTGGAGTGTCAGTAAAGTACAGTGAAAGTAACTTTAGTGCTGTTTGGGGAGGACTGATGCAGCATAACACTTTTGCAGTTGTATATGACAAGCATATTTTATAAAGGCATATATGATAAATTGGCCATATAATTATATACAAAGAATTATTTTCTTAATCCCAAGTAACCCAACCCAGAGTAAACTATGAAAAATCTTGAACAAATACTGTTTTCACAGTATTTAGATTCAGAAAAGGTGAGAAATTCATATCAGTAACATGAACCATCTTTGAAACATAGTGCCATATCTGTAATCTAGCAATAACAGGAGCAACAATAATGAGGGAAGAATAAAGTGTCTCTCTTGACTACCGTCAAGTATTCTTATGGTTTGCACCTCTTCAAAAACTCCAGCAGTGCATACTCTGACCATTACAGCTATTTCCCCTGTTTAGAGAAATTATTTAGATGAAATACAGAGAAAGTCTTGTTTCACTTAATTTTTATCTTGAAATGAAAATGCTGAAGGGCAGAGTCTGATACCTGCATTCATGTTCTTACTCTACATATTTTGTACAGTTTTATTTGTACTTTGCAAACACATAGCCCTCTTTCATTCCTTTCAGGATTTCAGTACAAAGCAGTACCAAAATGTCTAGATAAAAAGTATGTGAGAGATTGCCTTTCACCTTGTGCAATACCATGGCTGCCCTGATCATCTCAGATGCTCCAGTTAACAGTGCCTTGGTTTAAGAAGAAAGGAGCTAGCAGGAGAGCACTGTCAGCCAGAGGCCATGAATTTTGCCATATGATTCCTCTCCCTTGTTCCCTCAGAACCCAGATTTAGCAGCCCTTGGGCTGCGCTGAAAAACTTGCGCACCTTCCTCCTGTCCTATCCAAAGGAATGAGTGGCTCCTTGGAATTAGGAGCCAATGAGTCTGAGGGGAGATAAATAGGACAGAGTTTCTTCCAGAGTCGATGAAAGATTTTCACAATATATGATTATTGCTCATTTGTTTTTTAAATGTTGTACAAACCAAAATCTCAGAAATATGTGTCCTGATCTCTAATTAATAGTATCTTGTCCCTATGTGGATTTATACCTGTCAAAAATTTATGTCCAAGAACAGTCAGAATAGTTGCAAGTAATAGAATTATTGCTGTCAGAGATATAACCTTTAAAGAGTTTTCATCTTCATCTCGACTCCGTGAAGATAATGCTGGGGGAAAAAAAACATATTTGTAGTTACCGAAAATGCATGTTTAAGCAAAAAATGTCATCATAGTAACTCTGTCCATTAGAAATGTACCATTTTGCTGTCAACCCAAAAATGAATTCTTGATGACTTCAAACTATAATTAAGATCAGAAATGACCATGCTGTGTTAAAGTGTGCTCCCTCTAATAAAATTCCCCCATCTCAGACACTGACAACCACCAGAAGGAGAGGTAAGAACTCTTTAGCAGGCATATATGAGATAATATGCTCAAAATATAGGATCTCAGAAATGTAGGCATTAGTTTAAACCCTGAAGCATGAGGTTAATATCCCTCCATAAACTGTTTTTTATAATTTTGGGATGTTCTTGATATGCATATACATTTCCAGTTCTTCAGTTCTTATTCCTTGAATACCTTGCCTCAGAATCTTCAGCAGCAGTCAATAGCATAGTTTAATCACACACGTGAAAAAAAGTCCTTTCATGAGTTTTGAATTTTTCACCTTTTCATTTAATTGGAAGTCCCTTCATAATAGTTCTCATGTTAAAAAACAAAGGGATAGATTTGCCCTATATACATTCTCTAGGAATTGTGCAGTTAAAGTTGTATTTCCAAAAGGCTTCATGTTTCTCCATCTGCTTTAACCAGTTCATATAAGCAGTCTATGGTGTTAAGCCATCAATAACTCTTTTCTTGTGGCTGGACTTCCTTTGCCAATAAATAAATATGGGATGGACAGAGTCTAAGCAGAGCTCTCCATTTAAGCCAGGTCCACCTCCCTGCCACGTCTCACAATACTGCTATGAAGCACATTCTACCCACTCACTCTTGGTCCCCACAAAGTCCTGAGGCAATGTCTTGACCTGATGGGACTCAAACCTTCATGTCCCACTTCCCATGAGAGAATCCTAAATACTTGGGCCCCTGGGAAGCTAAGATATAATACTCATAGGGCCAGAAGGAGAATAAGAAAGCATGACTCTAACCTAGTAATGAGGATAGCCCTCTGGAAGCAGGAAATCTGCCCTGTGGCCCCTGCTGACAGAGTTAATTCCGGTTTGTAATCAATGACTGCCTGATGCAAAATGCATGAGCAGTCCTGACAGCAGGAGCAGTAGTGAAAGGCCCTGTGGACTGTCAATCTCTGGAACAGAGGCTTCTGATTTTGTTGGCAAATTCCTCTCCACTATTTCAATTCTTCATTTTGACATTCATAGATTCATAGATGTTCGGGTCAGAAGGGACCTCAGTAGATCATCGAGTCCTACCGGGCAGGAGAGAGCACTGGGGTCAGACGACCCCAGCCAGGTGCATGTCTAGCCTCCTCTTAAAGACCCCCAAGAAAGAGGAGAGCACCACCTCCCTTAGAAACCCATTCCAAATTCTGGCCACCCTTACTGTAAAGAACTTCTTTCTGATGTCTAACCTACATCTGCTCTCTGTCAGTTTGTGGCAATTGTTCCTTGTTACTCCAAGAGGTGCCCTGGTAAACAAAGCATCTCCTATTCCTTGCTGCCCCACCCGACCACCCCCCATGAATTTATAGACAGTCACAAATCAGCTCTCAGCCTTCTCTTGAAGAGACTAAAGAGATCCAGGGCCCTCAATCTCTCCTTGTAGGGCTTTGCCTGCTGGCCCCTAACTAGATGAGTGGCTCTCCTCTGAACCCTCTCAAGGTTGTCCACATCCCTCTTGAAGTGCGGCACCCAAAACTGGATGCAATACTCCAACTGCGGCCTGACCAATGCCTCATAGAGGGTAAGTATCTGGACCTGTTAGTCATGCACCTGCTAATGCATGATAAAGTGCAGTTAGTTTTACTGATCACTTCATCACACTGACAACTCATGTTCATCTTGGAGTGAACAATAACTCTGAGATCTTTTCTGCTGCTGAGAAGGTCCTCCCCCAGCCTGTAAGTGTGCCGGTGATTTCTTCTTTCTAATGTGCAGCACTTTGCTTTTGTCTTTGTTGAACTGCATCCTATTCTGTTCTGCCCACTTTTCCAAACTGTCCAGATCCGCCTGGATTCATTCTCTACCCTCTAGTGTGTTAACTTTATCCCATAATTTGGTATCACCTGCGAATTTGGACAGAGTGCTTTCCACAGCCTCATCCAAGTCACTGATGAAGACACTGAACAGCACAGGTCCAAGGACCAAGCCTTGTGGGACTTCATTGCCCACATCCTTCCAAGTCATTACCAATCCATCCACCACCACCCTCTGGGTGCAACCCCTAAGCCAATTTGCCACCCTGTAATCATCTATGTCACAGCCTCTCAGTTTATTTATGAGAATAGGATGAGATACTGTATCGAAGGTCTTCTTAAAATGCAAGTAAATGAACATTAATAGTACGTACCACACTGGATATCGCAGATTTGTAGTGGAACAGAATAATCTACGTCTGTCCTCCAGGCCTTGTAAAAGGAAAGGAAGAAAGGTTATTTCTGTTTTGACAATATTGTAAATGACCATTCATTTTAACAAAATAAACACCATTTGGTTAATTTACTGAATCTTCTGTGTATATATATTTTAAAGCCTGGTTTAAAATAAAGTCATATGGAGAATTCTGCTCTGGCTTATATTTGTGTCAGTGGTAATTACTTTCGGATTTATAAAGGATAGAGCTGGTCAGGATATTTTAGAATGATTTCCTGACAGAAATTGACTTTTGCACAATTTTGCCAATTTTTTTTTAATTTGAGGAGAATCAAAATGATGCTTCTGGCCAAAAAGACTTTAATTACTTCATTTTCTTGCTGTCATTCTCTGCCTAAAACAAGAAGGAAAAATCAATGAAAGCCTTTCAGGCTGGCTGCTGGAGACCGAGAGCACTCCAGCTCTCACCCCCTAGGTGCTACCTCCTGCCTGGAACACTCACTTCCTAGGGGAAATCAAACCTTGGAGCCTCATATTCAATTTCTATTTGTGTTAGTAAAATTCAGCTGCACAAATAATTCACAAAAAACACCAGAAAATACTTCCCAGTTCTGTTTGCAAGAATAACAAGTTTAACCTGTAACTTCATACTTACTGTGCAGCATGCCCTTGTTTATATGGCATGCTTATGCCTATTTTTTCTAATATATTCTGCTATGCTCCTAGTTTTGGGTGCATTTATCTGTTATTCACAGAGTCCTTGTGATGAATCCTTTAACTAGGAAAAATCATAGGTAGGGAGGGATTAATTTAATAGTAGTTTGCCCTTAATATCCCAGTTTGCCATCTACAAATCCAAGAGATAAAGGAGAATGACCTTTGTTTTAAATAATTCATGCCAGCTCAGCAGGAGGTGGAGGCAGGTTATTCAAACTATAAAGCAATGGTCTTTGCATTATTTATTTGAATTAAGTCGCAACTGTGCCCAGGTCAGATTTGGCTCAGAAGGCAGCCAAAGCACTGCCTGCTGTTTTTTATTTCCCTGCCAACTTGTTTGTTTAGTGCTAAGTATGTGTCAAAATCAAACAACCTACCTGAATGCAAACCTTTGAGCTACATATTTCACCCGGAATATTGATAGATGTGGAATCCGAGCCACCCTGGCAGGAATAAAATGGAAAGCTGTTAATTCCATATCTGGGAAGCAATGAAAATGCACCGACTCTTCCCAGGTCTTTGCCTTTGTCACTAATATTATGTAATTTACTGCTTTAAAACATGTGGCCAAGTCTTTCGTTCAAGCAGGGGAGGATGAGGGCGCAATGCAACTGTAACAGCTCCGCTATTCAAGGTGGCGGGCCAGGAGAAGGGAAGGAAGGAGATTTGGGAAACCTGTGAGAGGGCTCTTATCCCAGAACATTGCATAACAAAGCATTGTGCCTTGATGCTCAAGGTGAATTTAACAGTGGATCAAGAGAGAAGATTGTGAATGATTCTTCTTCCATTTTCCCCAGAAGGGCCAGATGCCAGGCAAGGGAGAAAAGAGCCCAGGCATTACAGATGGAAGGCTACAGCAGTAGCACACAATGCCTCCACTTCCACAACCACATCTTACGTGCACTGAAAGGGAATGTCCCCCACGTTGCAGCTCTTCCAGACCTCCTCATCACAGAGCCAGCTATTGAGGCTGTGCTCCAGGACTAGGATTACCCAGAGGGCAAAGCTGTCCTAAAAGATTGTTCTGCTTTTTAAATTTGGTGGTTTATGGCTTGTGTTCAAAAAAGTACATTAATCAGACCTGTGCTTAATCAGGCAATTACAACTACAGACTCTGTCCTCAGTTAGACAAAACTCATGTTGAAGTCAGGAATAAATTAAATGAATGTGACCTTAACCACTGTATTGCTGCACAGATGTTATTATTTAAACTATGAATAATTGTTTAGGAAAACAATGGCTCAGGCTTAAGTCATCTTGAAACTCTGGTGGAAACTGTGCATAATCTTCCAATAGGGACAGCTTGTAATTTATGTGGGCTACCATTGTACCCAACCTAAAAAGAACATAACAGTCCTGTACCTTAGGAGTAATAAAGATAATGGACATTTCTAAACATTTTGAAATATCTGCCCATGACCTAATATTACTTAATTATTCCTTTTATTCAGTCACCTAAACACCCTGAAGACTAACAAGTCTGGACTGTGTAGTTCTTCAGACAAAAACCCCACTGAAGTCAAGTGGCACCTAGCACATAGTAATTCTTCCACTTTATACACCTGAGGCTTTTGTATTCCCTTAGTGACAATGCTACTGAGCTCAAACAAACAGAAAGATAGATCAGAAACAAAAAATAATGTTCAGAAAACCCTACTGAGGTTGCAAGTGTTTGAATATTAGGAAATATCAGATTTACAGTTGCCTGCCCCACTTTAATTCTGCCCACTCATGCATCCATGCCATGCTCTAAATAAGGCAGGAGTCCTGAAGACAAAATAGTACAGTATGTAGTCATGCACTTAAAATCTGTATCCTAATATATATGCACCTAACTGGTGGAGTGGAGAGCACAGATACCATCTTTACCAAAAACATCAAAGGAAGATGACCCACTGTGTGCCCCTGAAGCAGCATGAATCTAATACAGGCAGTTATAATCTTGGACTTAACTACATTAATGACCCATTGAGGAATACATATCTGTATATATTTTACATCCCAAAAACAATGTTAACAAGCATTAAGGTTGCTAAACTAAGCATTCCAAAGTCTTTTTCACTGATGTGACTCATTTCACTTCAGTACAGTTATAATCTCAAAATTAATGTAAGACAGACATATGTATAAACATGGGTTTTACAAATGCATTCAGGCAGCAGAGCCATAGATGGCACAATGAATAAATCAGATTAAATATGATAAGGCTGCCTTATTAACAGGAACAGCTAAGAAATAAAATCTACAAACCAAAGAAACTGAATAGTGTGTCCCAAAAGATTCACAGGAAGACAGCTGCATCTGGTTACACACCAACACTGACAATTGTGCCTTGGTTTGTGATGTGAAAGAGACCTGTATCTGTTCTTCTGTTCCAGCAATTCTCATTTTCCATACTAAAATAAGAGGAGAACAACTGTTACTTTTATACCTACTCATGTACATAAGAATAAGTTATTGTTTTACAACACCAGGGCACTAGATTCCATACTGTTTTTAAAATAAAACTGTATATCAGTTCAAATGTTATCAACTATCATACCAATAACTATCTTGATTTTACCAGGTTATGTTTTATTTTGACAATGTTTAATTTACTATGAAGTTTACACATGGTATAGTGCACTGTCAAACAGCACTGATACAATTCACAGGATAAAAGAACATGATTATTTTGCTAAAGAGGAAGTTTTACTTACTGGAAAGGGAGTAGTTGTGGGACTTATTTAATTAAAAATGGAATGGAATTTTGATTTAATTTAAACAAATCAGGTATTTACCTGGGAATTTTCCATAAGCAAATGGGCATCTAATCCATGAGCCCTGCTTGGTGGTAAACTGCAAGTAAAGACATTGGTTAGAAAAACAGAATTTTGCTATTTGAATTTGTGGCTAGAGACAACTAGATAGTCACCAAGAACATTTATAGACATGGTCTGGGAGGTGGGGAGCACTTTAATTAGTGAGCCATGCTAATTAAAAGCACCCAAGCATCTCATGTATCAGCGTCCCCGTGCTGAAAAATAGTGGCAGGGAACTTTGAACTAAAGCTCATCGAACAAGCTTTAGTTTAAAGCACCCTGCTGCCATTTCTCAGGGCAGGGACACTGATATACATGACGCTGGAGGGAGTTAATTTCCACTCTCCAAGCAGACTCAGTTAATCAAATCTGCTCTGGTGCACTGGATTTACAGCACGTCAGAGCAGCCTTGCTGCATGCCTATAGGAACCCCCTATTACCAAATGCAACAATGGAACTATCCACAACTTCCCTACTACTCCAAGCTATGAAACACACTCAGAGCTCAATTCTGCAAACATTTACTTTTTGGGCTTAACTTTCTACATCTATGCAGTCCCACTGTGTTAAATCATTTCCATTGATTAATAGCATAAAACAACAATAATTAAGAGCTAACTACTAACCTTCATTGGACATTTTGCCTGAATAAGGGCAGCAAGATTTGATCCAATAAAATGTAACACAAATACCACCTGTTATTTTCAAGGCATTTAACATGCATCAGTGTTCCCATCATGGAGCCCTAATATGTTGCATTATGCATGGAACATTTACATTTTCATATTAAGTTACAGGTGAGTTTAAAGTACAATAGCCAACCTCAGTTATACCACAATTATATCTACCCAGCACACCAAAGGGCTGCAGAGGCATTGCAAGTTCACTGAGTCCCCAGAGTGTAGAGGGAACAGGGGGAATAGGGGTGAAGGCAGCATGGGAGAGGGTAAGGGAAGACTTACTTGTCCAGGTGCTGCCCAGATCCTAATGCCCCATTCACTCCCCCCTCACCAATACATACATATTGAGAGCAAGGGTATGCCTGCTCTTGGAGAGGCTCCTTGGGGGCAGAAGCCCATTCTACTTGCTCCAGTCACCCCCACTCTGACCCCCGATACAATGCTTGGTGTGGTTCTGCCCTGCCCAGCTCCCATGGCCGGGCATTGGTAGTGAAGGGCTTCCCCTGCCACAGCAAGGAGTCCCAGCAGGGGAATGAGGTGGGGGGAAGTTCTGGCACCCATCATAGTCAACATCTGGGGTAGGTGCCCCACTCAACCTGCCATAGGTATGCTAGGTGCAGAGGTACCCCATTTAGAGCTAGCTCAGGTATCAGAAATTGCAATGAGAAAACTGTGTGGCCACATGGCTTGTGGTACCTGAGTTAGCTCATTCAGACCAGCCATGGGCACTGTACTGTGCCATGTAAACATGTACCAACTGTAGATACTGTTATTCAAAAATATAAGTGCCCAGACATGGAGTTAATCAGTTATTCTGAATAGCTATTGCTGAGTAACCCCATATGCATACAAGTCTTTTACTTACAATTGAGCACTTGCAGTACTAGGACTGATTCTCCTCTCTCTCATAAAGCTTTTACATGGATTGATCTCAACTGATTTCCATGGAATTACTCCCTAATTTAACTAATGTAAAATAATACAAGCCTTAAGTTCTGAAGGCTTGGCTTGCCACTCTCAGGTACCTTTTACCTGAACAAAGTTGGTACAGAATACCATCTAAGCAGAATCACTAAGCTGCAAACCAGTTGTGCCCAGGGGTACATGGAACAGTGGAAAAATCAGGCCCAGAATGTTTATTCAGTATTAGCAGCTGTAGTGAGTCTTAAATACAAAAAAAGCAGGGTAAATGAATAACTATATCTGGTTCTTGAATTTCCTTTATTGTGAAAACCCTATCCTGAGCAGTCTTGTGCCATCCACTTAAAAGACCATTAGGACAAAAGGGCAAATATGATCCCATGTTAGCTCTATCATTTTAACTGCCTTCCCTAACACAGCCTCCTCGTATACTCACATTTTGAATTTCCTTCATTTCTATTTCCTTTTTGTCAATTAGATGAGAAAAAGTATTCATCCTAAAGCTTGCTGGCAGTTCATTTTTGTA